TAAGAAATGATGAAAGAGATAATTTCTCAGAATCCTGGATAATATAAATTGACAGAGTGAAATGAGCAGAACCAGGAGAACAATTTATACAAAGACATCAGTTTCATAAAGAAAAATAATGTTGAAAGACTTAAGAATTTGATCAGTGCAGTGACTTATCATGTCTCCAGAGGACATGTGATGAAGTATGTTTTATCTACCTCCTAATAGAGGTGAGATGGACATAAAATGCAAAGAAGAAATATACATCTTCAGACATGACCATTGTGGCTGTGTTTGTTGGACTATGCTTATTTGTTACAATTTTTTTCCCTTCCTTTCTCTTAATTTTTAATTGGAAGGGGTTGGGGAGAACAAGGTGGTTAGCAATATGGAGGTCATTGAAACATTTTTTTAAAAATGCACAGAAGTTCAGAAGGGGGCCAGACGAAGGAAATTTTGGAAAGTAACTTGAAATTCTTTGTATTCTTTTAAAAAAAAAAAGAATGTGGTATGAAATGATTTTTTATAGAATTCTTTCTGGGTTCTGCTCATGAAATTCTCTCTCAATTCAGAATTTTTAAAAAGCCAGGTAGAACAATTTAAATCGCCAGTAGAGGCCCACTGGCTTTTGAGTGACACCATCAGATCAGCTTACAGTCATTTTGGCAGCCCTTTGGAGGATGGGTTGGAGTAGGGAGAGACTTGAAGCAAGTGTAATCTAGGTGAGAGGCAATGAGGGCCTGAACTATGGTAGTACCTTTGTGATTAGAGGGAGGTTTGGAGGAGAGAGGAGAGAGATTTGGCAACTGATTGGGTATGTGGACTAAGGGAGACTGAGTTAAGGGTAACACTGAGATTTTGAACAATAAGGGACTAGAATAATGATTTCTTTAAAAGAAATAGCAAGTTTGGTTGGAAATATGAGTTTTGTTCTGGATAGGTTGAGTTTGAGGTGGCTATGAGGCATCTAATTTGAATTGTTCAGTACACATTTGGAGATATAAGACTGAAGCTGTGCATGGTGGTGTTGGAGCTGTTGAGTCTTCTGCATAGAAATAATAATTAAATCGATGGGAATTGATGAGGCCACCGAGAGAATAGAAGAGGTCCCAGATAGGTCCTTGGGGAACAGTCACGGTTAAGAGGTGTGATATGGATGCTGGCCTAGCAAAGGAACCTGAGCAGCTGGCAGATAGATAAGAGGAGAGCAAACATAGAGTAATGTTATGAAAATCCAGAGAGAAGGAAATATCCCGGAAGGTGGTTAAGAAGGATGAGAACTGAAAAGAGACCATCAGATTTAGCAATGAAGAGATTGTTAGTAATTTTGGAGATTTGTTTTAGTTGACTGATGAGGTGAGAAGCTGGATTTCAAAGAGTTGAGGGATGAATATGAAGAGTAGAAGGGGAGACAAGTAATGCACAGCTTTTTCTTGGAATTTGACAGCAAAGAGAGGGAGAGACATGGGATAGTAACTTACGGGAAAGGTAGGGTCTGATGGAGATTCATTTTTTGTTGTGTAAAATATGGGAGCAGCGTGGTTATGTCTGAAGGCATCAGGGAAGGAATCAGTAAGTAGGGAGGGAGAGGCTGAAGATTGATAGAGAGGAGGAATAGGCATTTCAGAGGCAGGTGGGGAAAAGGCTAGGCTAGGAAGAAGACAGGAGGGGATCAGAATCAAGGACACATGTAAGCTTTCCCCTCGCCCCTTTCCTTTTACTGTAGAGGGTACTCTACAGTACTAGCCTCCTAGTCCTTCAGACTTCCAACCTAGATGTCATCCTCGTTTCCTTACTCTCTCTCATCCCCCTTCTCCTGTCTGCAATTTGTTGCCAAGGCCTGTCAATTTTGTGTTTGCAACATCTCTCCAATATGACCCCTTCTCTCTGACGCTGCTGCTGTTCTAGGGCAAGCCCTCATCACCCCATACCCGGACTATTGGAATAGCCTGCTGGTGGGTCTGCCTGCCTCAAGTCTCTCCCTGTTCCAATCCATCCTCCATTTAGTCACCAAAGTGATTTTCCTAAAGTACAAGTCTGACCAATGCACTCCCCTACTTAATGAACTCCAGTGGTTCTCTGTTTCCTTCAGGATCAAATATGAAATCCTCTCTTTGGTGTTCAAAGTCCTTCATAACCTAGCTCCCTCCTACCTTTCCAGTCTTCTTTCACCTTCCTCCCCACCATGTACTCTTTGATCAGTGACCCTGGCCTCCTTGATATTCGATGAACAAGACACTCCACCTCTTGGCTCTGGGTATTTTTTCTGGCTGTCCCTCATGACTGGGATGCTTTTCCTTCTTACCTATGCCTATTGGCTTCCCTGGCTTCCTTTTAGAACTAACTGAAATCTCAACATCCATAGGAAGTCTTTCCCAACACCTCTTAATTCTAATGCCTTCCTTCTGTCAACTATTTCGTACTCATCCTACATATCGCTTGTTAATACATATTTGTATTACACATTAGATTTGTAATACACATTAGATTGTGAGCTCTTTTAGGGCAAGGACTGTCTTTTGCCTCTTTAGTGCTTAGCACAATTCCTGACACATACTAGGTGCTTAATAAATGTTGATTTATTTTTTTTTGCTAGGCAGTGAGGTTAGTGACTTGCCTAGGGTCACACAGCCAGTAAGTGTTATGTGTCTTAGGTCCTCCTGACTCCAGGGCTGGTGCTCTATCTACTGCACCACCTAGCTGCCCCTTTAATAAAAGTTTTTGACTGACATATGCAGGATTTGGTCTTGACAAAGGAGAAGGCCCCCTAATTATCAAAGACTGGATAAAAGGAGAGAATAGGGGATGATGCCAAGGAATTTTGAGATGAAGAGAAGGGGAGAAGAGGAGGGTCATGGTGATGAATGGCTTCAATTTTCTCAGTCAAGTAAGTGGAGAGCTCCTCAGTTGAGGAGATCTGGGGAATGAGAGGTGTCTGGCTCCAGAAATGAAGGGTCTGAATAGTTTCTGTGTGGAGTGACATAGGAAATGTATTAGGGAGGAATAAAAGGATTGCCTTGCTATAATGAGGGCCCTGTTAAAGTTAGCATATATTTGTAGTATGCCCAATTAACATAGTTGTGTGACTTTCTCCAGCTTTGTTTAGCTACAAGACCAGGAGGAGAGGAGGCAGGTGGTGGCAACAATCTAGTGTTGGAATTTGGCAAGGAATGAGAGGTGATATGACCAGAGGGTACAGTGGTTGGGCCTGCACTTATTTTGTGTGGGTAGCAAGTAGGGCCCTTGGGGTGGTTGGTGAAGCGGCCAGGCTAGGCTGCTATGCTTGCCCACTGTTGAAGGTGTTAATCGGCACATCTCAAGCCTCTTTCCTTTTTTCCGTTTCACAATCTTATCCTTATATGTGTGATTCTAGGCAAGTCATTTAATCTGCCTGCTTCAGTTTCCTCACAATAATATCTACCTCCCAGGGTTGTTGTGAGGAACAAATGAAATAGTATTTATTTAAAAAAAAAACACTCAACACAGCACCTGGCGCACATAGTCCTTTAAAAAAAAAAAAAGACAACTCTTATACTCATTTAGGATTCTTTCTCTGTGTCTTCAAATTTTAATTCTTGAGAGGGCCCCATCCCTCCTGGGGTGACTTTTCCCTTACAGACTTTTGGGTCTTTCCTGCCTATCTATTCTTTTGTTCTTCTAAAATGTCTAGGGGGTGTGTTAGATAGTACTTGGCTTTTCTTTCCTTTTTAATAATCTTTTAAGATGGAGTGGTTGCCTTTCCCCAGAGTTTATATTCTTTGTATTTCATCAGCCAATTCTTCTATGTTCAGAATCAGGTCTAAAATAGCAGTTCCAGTTATCCTCCAATTTTTGAATAATGATGAAGTTACATTCCCCTTGGGGCCACAGTAGCTAGAATGTTGGAATTGAGAATTAGAAAGACTTGAGTTTGAATTCTGTCCTGTATACTTACTGTGTGACTGGGCAAGTCACTTAAAAATCTCTCCTAGCCTCAGTTTCCTTAGGTGTAAAATGGAAATGATAATAGCACTTACTTCACAGAATTGTTGTGAGGATCAAAAGAGAACATATACAGTGCTTTCTAAACCTGAAAGCCCTGTAGAAATGCTTACTATTATGATAAAAAGAATAAGATAGGAGCTTATTAGTCGTTAGCTTCTGACAGGCCATGTTCAAGCAGATGTCTAGAGAATTGAATTCCTGCATCACTGATAATCATAGTTAACATTTATATAGTACTTTGTTTTATAAAAAGCACTTTATATTATCTCATTTAATCATCATACATCCATGCCAGTTTGTGAGGTGTTTCCTGAACCCCCCACTTTACTTTTTTCTGTTGCAGTGTTCCTATTTCTTCCTTCATTGATCTTGATTCAAAAATTCTTTGTTCTCCTTTCCCCCTTTTGCTTCTTGAATTTTCTCATGAGTGTATTATCTTAATATATAGTACTGCTCTGCTCTCATTTCCCTTCCTTTATCTTGTCCCATTTCAGTAAGGCATATTCATTTTGACCTATATTTCAGTTATGATTTCTGCCAAGTCGCAGTGATCCCTGTGATGCAAAATTTCTCTCCTTTAGTTAGGATATCTAGTTCACCCTGTTTGTTTAGTATACTTTGTATATTTGTGTGTGGACATTCTGAGGTCATAGATTTTTGTTGGATTTTCTTATTGAATTTTTCTTCCTTGTACTATTGGACATCTCTGCTGACATTTTTCTTCAAGTATTATAATTGCTATTTCACATGGTATTTATCTTGGTAAATGTATATTGGCAGTTTTTCCTCTTAGGGTTATATTGGTTGACCTTTTGAAATAAGGCTTAGTGCCTTGTGACGTGTCTAGCCCATGAAATTGAAACCTCATGGATCTGGCCTTCTAGGATACTTCTTATGTGTGATAACTTAAGAGTTCAGGATTCCATTTATTATTGCAATTTTTGTATTCATTGGGCACCTGATATCAGATTCCGAGAACAAAGAGTAAAAGCAATTCTTTTCCCACCTCATCTCTAATTTTCCCCTACTTGCAGGTACAAAGATGCCCTGGTCCTTTTGCTTACTGAGGTATTGAATCGGATACAGTTCAGGTACAACCAGGCGCAGTTGGAGGAGTTGGATGATGAGATCCTTGATGATGATGTAAGAAATATATTGTAGAACACTTTTTGATTATTAAAATTTCAACATAATTAATTTAAGTCAGTAATAGGAATCTGCAAATCTTTTGTTTCTAAAAGTTGAATTTTTTTAGCATGGGTAGAGTATTAATTTTTAAGCTTTTTTTTTTTTAATTAATTCCTAGTTCACTTTTAATTTGGTTTTACAAGCATTTTCAGCCATCTACTTGTACCACGAGTAGGAGTGGAGAAACATTATTTTTGAGAAATGTGCTGGGTTATGTGGGAAACCTTAGTGAATCTAATTTATGCCCTTTACTGCTACAAATTGTAATCCAGACATGTCTCATTTTCCTGTGCAGTTCTTGTCTGTATCCTTTTATAAACCCTCCAAAGAGTATTTACTCAATGCTGGTGCATTTTCTCTATTTTGTGGCTATTAATGCCATATTTGCTCTTTCTCTACCTCCTTTTCTGGTTATACATGTACTTTAATGATACCTTTTCTACTATATTGCTTCTGGAAATGTGCTGCATTATGTTCTCATTCACTGTGACCCACTGAGTTCCCTGCATTTTTTTTTTCTGTGATTGTGATGTTCTATAGTTGAGCACCATATAGAAACACTAAGAGAATGCTGATGTTAAAAAGATTGGTGTATTGGGGGGATGAAGAGCAGTTTGAAAGCATTACCCACTTCCCTAAATGCCAATTCAGCTAACTCTTACTTCCTGTCTAGTTCTGGGTTTATCCTGTTGTCCATCAGTAGCTCGTCTCCAAGATAAATATGTATTTTTGATGGCTTATTTGCACATTGTAATCAGATGAAGGTGCATTTTTATCCACTTGGTTTTTCCTGTGTGGATGATATGTTTTATGTCCAAATGATCATTGAAAGTATGCTTCAATCTATTTCTGACACTTAAATCCTGGACCATTCTCTTTTGTGAGACTATGGAGCTCATTGTGGAGGATTTGAAGTGTGCTGTGGCTTGATGTAGTTGGCACATGCTCTCTACAAATAGTCACTCCCAGGACCCTGAGTCCTGCAGGGAAATCCTCCTCTGTTTGGCCTTTGCATTGAACATCCTCTTTCAGGATGTTGGCAAATACCATTGATGAGTATATGCCTCCTTGTGTTAAACCTCACTTAATATTGATAATCAGAGGATTGTTGGAGAAAGTTGTCTCTCTGGTTTCTTCTATCGAGGAATCCTGTATCATCTTAATATGGGAGATACCATGCTGAAAGAGACCTTTTAGGCTACGGTTTTGTTCTGTTGAACCAAAAGTGTTTTTTGGTGATGACCAGACATTGAGGGATAAACACTGAGGGATCTTGTAGTCTTTATTTTTCTGAGTTGCATAACTAGGATGATCTGGTCTTCTCTAGAAAATTACATGCAAAAGCCTACTTGTTCCTTTTCATATTTTTATCAAGGATGCCTTCATATTTTGGTTAGTGTTTAACTTTTCTTTCCAACATCTAAATTGCTATTTCTGTTTCCTTACATATTCAGTGCTGAAGTGATAGAATCCAGATGTAGTAATTCCATTGTAATTGATAAGGATAGGTTGCCATACAAACCCTGATATGTCTGTTCTGTTTAATGTCTTTGATATCCTTCCAGTTTCCTTCCTAAGTAAATACCTCTTGCAGAACTGGTATTTGGAGAACCTTGGGAGAAGGGAGTGAAAAAAGGAGTTGAGGGAAGAGACTGGGATAAGAATTAATTAGCGGGGGCAGCTGGGTGGCGCAGTGGATAGAGCACTGATCCTGGAGTCAGGAGGACCTGAGTTCAAATCCAACCTCAGACACTTGACACTTACTAGCTGTGTGACCCTGGGCGAGTCACTTAACACCATTGCCTAGCCCCGTGCCCCCCAAAAAGAATTAATTAGCCACCTGCTTTTAGTATTTCTAATTATTTTAAACTACTTTTGAAGTTTATTGAGTGCTGCTAGATTGGGCCCTCTTGGCGTCACATTTTTAGCCCCAGAATGAAAGTAGTTGTAGTTTCTGTGTACCCCTGTGAAAAAGTCTTGGTGTTTTAACTGTGTGACCTTGGGAAAGTCACAACTTATAAAACCCTTTACAAAAATAAAAAGTGTTTTATGCTTATTTGTTATTCTCATTGTAATAGAACTACATATTAGAAAACAAAACAAATATTTTGGGGTTATTCCAGGTCAGGTTAATAATATGTTATTGCTCTGGGGAAATAGTTAGAATTCTTAAATTTTGTCTTTGGTTTTCTCTTATATCTGTGTGACTTTTTTTTTTTTTAAAGGACAAAGTAACATTACATGTGATTTTTCATTTCTGATTTAAATTTTGTCTGGTAATAAACTTCATTCTGTGGACAAACACCAAAAGAACAAATACTTCTAGATACTCATCAGTTTTGGAGAATTCATTCCTGTATTTCTTTTTACAGCAACAAACAGAGTGGCAGCGGTACTTACGCCAGAGCTTGGAAGTTGTTGCCAAAGTCATGGAGCTCCTTCCCAGTCATGCATTCTCTACGCTGGTAACTAACCCTCTGGGGAAAAATTAGTAGTGACCTTTTTCTCCTTCACTTTGGCAGCATGGCAGAGAGGACCAGGAACCCAGAACCAAGGCTTGAGCCCTGGCTCTGAAACTGGCTGACTGCTGGATCTTGGAGAAGGCCTTTTCATCTCTTTGGGCTGAGTTTCCATATCTCTGAAAAGGAAGGACCTGGGCTTCATAGCTCTTTCTAGTTCTATAATGGTCTGTTTAATTTACAACATTGGCAATAAATTGAGGAAGGCTTTACTCCTATATACATAGAAGACTTTGGATTTCAGCTTTTATAAACACATTTTCTTTTGTAGCTTCTTGGACTGAGGGTGTGTTTTACAGTCCTCCTAATTATATCAGGTAGAGAGAGGAAAAAGTTAACTATAATTCCCATCCTTTTCAGAAGTTGATTGCAGAGCATTACAAGCCTGGTGTGATCCTTTATGCTTATTTTGATTTCTTGGGATCTTTAATCACATGGCCTGATTTAGTTGCTTTTGAAAGCATGGTTGTATGAAGAGATCATATTAGGTTCACATCATCTTCTAAAGAAAGGAAACAGAATAAAAATGTGATGCAATCAGCTTTTGTGTTACCTGTTCAGCTATGTGGTCTCTTGTATTCTTTTCCCTGGGGAATGTTGTTTTACTTTGTCTTCTCCTTTTTTTGGTCTCTATCACATTAAATTCTCTTTTTTTGCTCTTAATGTAATTGATTAGTAAAGCAGCTTATGAAATGAAGGGTAGGCTCACCTACAGGTGCTGACAAAGTCAGCAAGAGAAATGGACTTTTGAATAAATTGACCTGTCTCTTTGCACTTTGCCAGGCTCATTGATAACATTTATATATAGATATAAAATTTTTTTTCTACCAGAAGGTTGAGTGGGTCACCAAGTGATGATTTTACTTATTTTTGGTGGGGAAGTTAGGGTCTGAGGTGAACCTGTTATCAAAATACCAGGGTAGATGCTGATAGCTTAATCAAAATGGCTTAGGACATAACTTGACTGTCAGATCTTTTTTGTCTTCCTTGCTTTTTGTGAAATTGATGTAGTTGCTTTCCTTTATTTACTGAATATTAATCCTCAAAGTAATTTCAGTGGTGGAAATCATCAAGGGAATTGAATTGAGAGATTTCCTTGACCCATATATATCTACAAATAACCAGGATTCATAGAGCAAATAATTTCTATTTCTACTTTCCCAGCTTTATTACACATTATTCCCCTTTACAAATTGTAGGTTACAGCCCAACTTACCTTACACAGTCTTTACATGTGATGTTCCATTTCCTCTCGCTACGTCATTACAGGCTGTCCTCCATGGTTGGAATGCCCTCTCTCCTCTCATTAGTGCCTCTCAGAATCCCTAGTTTCCTTCAAGTTTCAACTCAAGTGCCACTTTCTGAATGAAGCCTTTGTTAATCCCCCCAGCTTTAATTTTTTCCCTGCTAAAATTGCCTTGAAATAATTTTTTGTGTACCTACATCTGCTTGTTGTTTCCCCCAGTTGGATGTTAGCTCTTTGAAGGAAAGGATTGTTTCACTTTGGTCTTTGTATCCCAGGCACCTGTCATAGTGCCTGGGATATAGTAGGTAGTAAATGCTTGTTGATTTATTCTGTTTCCATACTTTGGTCATTGTATAATTTGATGTTAATGGGATTAAAACACATTTATGACTTTCACATTTGTTTCTTTGCTTTCAGTTCCCAGTTCTTCAGGACAATTTAGAAGTTTATCTGGGGTTACAGCAATTTGTAGTTACTTCAGGGTCAGGTAAACCTGTTTTCATTTTCTAATATAAGCAGTTATTTTAAAAAGAAGGACTAATACTTCTCTAATTAATGATTCTATTGCTATCATAATGTTCCCCATAACCCCTAATCCCCTTAAGTAACCTTTAAAAAAAATTGTAATACTAGGCATTTTGGGAGAGAAGAGATAAAAGATGAGGTGACAGCACTGTATTTTAAAGGGATGTACTTTAGTGAATGAAGAAAAGGGGGCCAGTTTAGGGCAATGACAGAACTTATTAAAATACTGACTGGCATGCTGCTCTATTTTTGGCCTAGACATTATCTTTTAGGTTCCTACTGATTTGTGTGGCCTTTTAAAATATTTACATGATCATTTTTATTTAGAAATTAGAATATTTCTTTGTTCTGGGATACCTTTAAGTTAAGGTAGTACGTGAAAAAGATTATCTTGGTCTTTAGCATGACATATTTCTCCTTTTCTAATATTTAGAACCGAAGTAATATGAATTTAGGTATAGCAGATGAAATTCTACAGGATGTAATTATTACACTTGCTGTGACTTAATAATTGTCCACCTTATTTTAAATTCTTCTTGGGAAGTCTCTGAATTTAGCCAGGCTAAATTGCTGTGGCGTATGACTTATACAATTTCTTAATTTAATAACCATATGTATTTTGGTTTAGTTTAGTATTAATAATCGCTCTTCCTTCTTTTTTGAATTCCCCCTCCACTTCCTGTCCCAACAACAATAAAATATTAATCTTTGATCTCACAGCTTTATAATTCTGCTCAAACTTTAGTCCTTCATGTTTTTTTCATGTCAAACCTCTGCTCTCTTCTTCCCCCTTTAATACCATATCTTCAAGTTCTTTCTCAGCCTTTAGGACTTATAAATTTATACTTTAAAATAGAACAGTAATTAAAAATGTCAAATAAGTTACCCTGCATTTAGCTTCATGAGCTAGTAGGGTGATAAATGAAAAGTTGAATATGTCAAAATTCCAAATGAAATTTTCCCTTTTTGGGGCGGGGGGAGGTAGGGGTAAAGTGGAAGACTGTGGTACAGTGGAAAGAGGACTGGATTTGGAGGCAATACCTGAGTTCAGAATCTCAGCTTGGCAGTTTACTGTTTGCTTGATCTTGGGCCTTGACCTCTCTGGGCCTCAGTTTACTCATCTGTAAAAGGAGAGTGTTGTATTAGATAGGTGATCTTTAAGTTCCTTTCTAACTTTCAATCTGTTTCTGATTCCTACCTCTTCTATTTGTTCTTTCTTCCGTTCTTTATACAGTACAGGCTTTTCTAATAGAATTTCAGCTTAACCCTGAACCCTTCCTATCACAGTCATGTACAAGGTCCTGGCCTATGATTCCCTTCTTTCTACACGGTCAGCATTACCTAGTTAGTCTTGTCATGGCTGGAGTAGAGATATTGAGAGAAAGGATCATGGTTCCTGGGAAACTTTTTAACTATAGCAAATCCTACTTAAGGAAGCTGACTGTTTTTGAATGCCTCTTGACTTAATGAACCATAATAACTTGTTTCTATTATTATTGGAGATTTTAAATAATCTGACCAGCCCCAAGGATTCTGGTATGACTTTGGCACACATCAAGTACAAAAAATGTTTTTTTTGGAATAGTGGAATGGTTAGCCTTTAAACAGGTAATGGATGAGAATAAAGTTATTTGTATAGCTTTTTAATGGAATACTTTCTAAATCAACTTACTTCGTGAAATCTTTCAATCTGTAATAAATTCATTTGACTTAAAACATAACATTAAATCTGCATTTCTCTATCTAGAATGGTAGCATTCATAGCCTGTATAAAACGTCAAGATTGCTCCTCAGGGATAAGTAGAATGAGTTTTTTTATGTCTGAGTTACTTTATTTGTCATACAGCTCTTAAGTGCCTACTATGACCTGCACATTGTGTTGGATGCCCAGGATCTAAGAATTTAGCCTTGATCTAATAAGATGATTTGTTTTTCCACAGAATTTGTTAGCTTTTTTTCTCTGTTGTTTATTTAATAAGTTGCATAGGAATTTGTAGGGAACCCTGTTGTTTTTAGGGATGCAGTGGGAAAGAGTGCTAGACTAGGAATCAGGAGACCTGAGTTCTGGGACCTCATCTCTAAAGGGCAGGGAGTTCAACTAGGTGGTCTCTAAAGCCCCTTTCAAGTTTAGGAGTCTATGACCTACTGTCTCAGAATGATGCTTGTATAATATAGTGGAAAGAGTGCTGTACTTGGAGTCAACAGCTAGGTTCAAATTCTACTTCAGTAATTTTTACTATGTGGCTTTGGGCAAGTTACTCTCCTCTTTCTAAACCTGTTTCCTCATCTATAGAAAGAAGGGTAAACTAAAACTTTCTGAGGTACATTTGAATTTTAAACTTATGATCCTATGCTTTTAATCTAGTAATGTGTGGAATTATCAGCTCTTTGTATTTAGGGACCTTGTATTATTTCCTTATATCCCCTCATAGTGTTGCATGCTTACCTGTGTGTTTGGTGAATATTTTCTTGAATAATGCTAGTAGTATTCACAGTTTGATTTTTAGGCTGGTTAAAAAAAGAATACAAAACTTTCAGTTGGAAACCAGCTCAACTTCCTTAAATTGATTTTTTTCCCCAAACTTCTAAATTTGAGTAAAAGCAATAGTAGACTAGTTTAGACTAGTCATTCAGCAAGTTTAGTGTTTTATCTCTGGGATGTATTTTGTCAATGGGCATTTTGTTGGAGGGGTTTTCCAAGTTGGCAAGGTGGTAGTGCCAGGATGGCGGAGTAGAGGCAAGGACCCACCTGAGCTCTCCAAATTTCCCTCCAAACAACTCTAAATTAAACTCCTTGAAATGAATCCTGGAGTTGCAGAACCAACAAAAGGCTAGAGTGAAACAGTTTTCCAGCCTATGACAACTTAGAAGGTTGGTAGGAAAGGTCTTTCTCCCTGGGGTGAGAGTGGAGTACAGTCCAGTGCAGGCTATCCCCAGCAAACCAGCAGTACAGAACTGAATCAGTAGTGATGCCTTCTGGAGCTCCCAGCCCACAGATGATAAAAGGGGAGAGGGTCGGAACACTAGTCAGGAGATTACATGGGACCCTTTGCTGGCACTGGGTACAGGAATCTGTTGCATTGCCTGTATGTGAGTTCCAGGTTGCAGTCCCAGGGTGAGGAGGAAGCAATAGAGGGGAGTAGAACCCAGATTATAGTTCCTGGGCAGAAAAGAGTGCTTGTGGTCCCACAGATCAGAGCACAGACCAGGAGAGCAATGACCTCACCTCTACTTAGATCATACCACCTTGGAAGAACTGAAAAGTGAAAACTTATAGGCTTCTGCACCTCCCCCCCTCCCAAGTCTGAAAACAGCATCATGAAAACCTGAAGCTGAGGATATTGCCAGCTTGGAAGCAGAGCACAGCTTTAACGTAACAGTGAAGAAATAGGCTAGAAAAATGAACAAACAACAAAAAATGAACTTGACCTATGTTTATAAGGAAGATCAAAACTCAAACTCAGAAGAAGACAACAAAGTCAAAACAGTTACATTCAAAGCCTTAAAGAAAAATGTGAATTGGTCTCAAGTCTCAAGAGCTCATAAAGGATTTTAAAAATCAAATACAAGAGGTAGAGGAAAAGAATTGGGAAAAGAAATGAGAGTGATGCAACAAAGTCATGCAAAAAGAGTCAATGGTTTGGTAAAGGAGGTACAAAAAAAATGCTGAAGAAAATAACACCTTAAAAAACAACATAAAAAGGCAAGATAAAGCTTTTACAGTAGAGGGGAAGAGGGGGGGAGGTTAGAGGGAATGAATGAACCTTACTCTTATCAGATTTGGTTTAAGGAAGAAATAGCATACACACTTAATTGGGTATGGAAATCTATCTTACTGTACAGGAAAGCAGGGGGAAGGGAATACGAGAGGGGAGAGATAATAGAAGGGAGGACAGATTGGGGGAGGAGATAATCGGAAGCAAAAACTTTTGAGGAGGGGCAGGGTCAAAGGAGAGAATAAAACGGGGTGGGATAGGATGGAGGGAAATATATTTAGTCTTTCACAACATGACTATTGTGGAAGTGTTTTGCATGAGTACACATGTATAACCTATATCGAATTGTTTGCCCTGTTAATGAGGATGGATGGGGAGGGAAGAAGGGAGAGAATTTGGAACTCAAAAGTTTTAAGAACAAATGTTGGAATTTTTTTTTTTGTGTGAGGCATTTGGGGTTAAGTGACTTGCCTAGAGTCACACAGCTAGTAAGTGTTATGTGTCTGAGGTCAGATTTGAACTCAGGTCCTCCTGACTTGAGCCGGTACTGTATCCACGGCGCCTGCTAGCTGCCCCTGGAAATTATTTTTGCTTGCAACTGGGAAATAAGGTACACAGGCAATGGGGTATAGAAATCTGTCTTACCCTACAGGAAAATAGAAGGGGAAGGGAATAAGAGAAGCGGGGGAGGTGCTAGAAGGGAGGGCAGATTGAGGGAAGGGGTAATCAGAATGTACGCCATCATGAGGTGGGGGGAGGAGAGATACGGGGAGAAAATTTGGAACTCAAAATCTTGTGGAAGTGAATATTGAAAACTAAAAATAAATAAATAAATGGGGTGGTGGTGGTGGGGAGAAAACCAAAGCAAAACAAAACAAAACAGCATAGACCAGATGGTAAAAGAGGCACAAAAATCCACTTAAGAAAGAACACCTTAAAAGGCAGAATTGGCCAGGTAGAAAAATATAGACAGAAATTCACTGAAGAACTCCTTAACCACGTGGAAAAAGATGTACAACAACTCACTGAAGAAAAGAACTCCTTAAAAAGTAGAATTGGCAAAAAGGAGGAGATGCAAAAGCTCACTAAAGAAAGTAAATCCTTAAAAATTAAGTGGAAGCTAATGACTCCATGAGACCTCAAGAAACAGTAAAGCAAAATCAGAAGAATGAAAACATAGAAGAAAATGTAAAATATCTCATTGGAAAAACAACTCATTTGGGAAATAGATTGAGGAGAGATAATT